TTTGATCTTTGCCTGTTTTCTTGGATTTCTCCCTCTCGTCTCGCCCCTGTGATTCTGTCTGCTTATCAGTGACCTACGCTAGCCCTGTGACTATTCTTGTGTTTTGCCCGCCATATACCTGTTTGCCAGTGTTTTGACCCTGCCTGTTTACCACGTCTCTTAAATAAAGCCTGCAGATGGATCCACATGTCTCACGTCTTGTCAGCCCCGTTACAATAATAGTGTTTAATAGTGATAATAATATTTCTTCAGTAGCAAATCAGCATACTAGAATGATTTCTGAAGGATCATGTGACACTGAAGACTGGAGTAATGATGCTGAAAATTCAGCTTTGCCATCACAGGAATAAATTACATTTAAAATATATTAATATATAAAACTTTTAATCTTCTTTTATTTCACAGTGTTGTTGTTGTTGATGTTTGTGTGTGTTTAATTATTAGTTTATTAATGTTCACAGTTACTACAGAGGAAATTAAATGTTTGCTTTGGCAGAAATTTACTCGGCTTCAGAATTTATGAATTGAATCCCTTTCATTTCTGTCTGAAGTTGAATTGTACACAAGTACAGTACAGAATGTTGAATTACAGGAAGTGAAATTTGACTGAATTAAACATGTAATGTGGAGTGGAGGTGGGGATATAATCACCGTATCAACTACTTTTTTATAGCTACTACTGTAGATCCAGTAAACAAATATGCACACACTGTACCTTTAAACTTCAAGACTTTGATTTGATTTTTAGCTTGATTCAAATTTATGTCATTGTCAATTTAGTTCTAAGTGCCGCACAATCTGATCAGTGATCAGTTCAGTGGTGTTGCACGTTCTGCAGATCATTTGATCATCATGCAAGACATTTGATTTGAACAAGGGTTGCACATTAACCTTCTGAGACCCTGCATCCTCATATGAGGACATTATATTTTAGTGCATTTCTCTGAGACTATACATGCCACATTCAGGGCTTTTCAGAGATACTAAATGTTTTGATGTTTCACCATGACCACCCCCTATCCTTGGTCTTCAAAAATGTCTGATATTAATTTAGTGACACTCTTATGGAAATATGATAATATTGTGTAATTATCATTTAAATCTGACAAATTTTTAAACTGTGTGTCAAAAATCAACATCTCAGGAAAATGTTATGGGGTTTCAAATCAAAATATGACTTTGTTTCGAAACAGGACGTTGATTTCATACATGTCCTCATATGAGGACACCGGGACTAAAAGCATATTTATTACACATTTTGGGAGACACAACAAATGAATAGGGAAATAAATTATATTTCAATATTCCTATGAAATATTATATATTATTTTGAAAATCTTGTCAATTATTACTCCCATTATTACACTTCTTTTTTCATTACATGTTGCCCCAACAATACATTAATATGCAAATTAGATTTAGTTTATAGATACATTATATATAATGAGAAAACCTGTTTATGGCCATTTTACACACATTTTGTATATACAGAAAAAAGGTACATCAAATCATTCTGTTATAACATAGTTGAGAATTATCTTTATACAAAGTTTGGTTAAAAAAATTCCTGAAAATGTATTGGTGATTAAAAAAAAAGAATCAATTGTTTTTGCCTATGCATGTTCATTCATGTCTTTTTTTTTTTTAATGAGTCCCGATGTCCTCTACCAAGTACGTAGCATAACTTATGAATGAAATATAATTGTCTAATTATTATTATTTTTTTACTGCTCTAAACCAGGGGTGCCCAAACTCGGTCTAAAATAAAATTATACAACAAGACTAACACACTTACTCTTAAGAGAAGATCTACTAAGTTGTATCTGTAGTCTGTATCTCAGACAGAACACAAATGGAGTCAGAACTTAAAAAGAAACAAAGGCCATGAAGCCCCTGTCCACGGTAAATCTTGTCAGTCAATCTTTAGGTTTGCTTATTTGTGTCTACCTGGTTGTGTCTAACATTAAGACAGTGTTATAAAAGGTCTCAGATTGTAAATAAAGTACATGTAGCTATTTACATGTATATTAATTGACCCAAATTATGTAAAATCGGCTGTTGTGCAGAAGCAGCAAATGCTCTAAGGACACAGAGGCCTCTAGTGGCTGAAACCGGAGGCTCTGATACCAATATTCAACGGGCTTTGGAGAAGTTAGGCTAGCAAATCACAGCTCTCACTTTAGTTAAAAACACTTATTTACAGGAAGCTAGGTATTTGTAAGTGACGCCACATCTGACAGCTGGAAAGTCCCAAAGCTGTGGGACCACTAAACTTGAACTCTTTAATTTGATATTTGTACATTAGTTATTTCAGTCAAGCAAACAAAGTGACAGTCGCTACAAATCGAGTTGTTTGATTTATGTTTGATTTATGAAGTGCTCATAATGCTGAGAACAAGATTAGTTGAGCAGATCAGTCAGCGTAAAGTTAATTTTAGTTACTATCACTCCCACTAGTGCTTAAGGGCAAATGCCATAGACCACGGAAGAGGAAAAAAGAAAGAATTACAGTCTGCAGGTGGTTTGGTTAGATAAGAGGTGGACAGTGTAAGAAATAGCCCCTCTGGGACAGAGCTATGGCAACCCTGATAAAAGGTGAGAGGCTAGGAGTTTATACATCCCCGAGGGGCAACCAAAGACTGTTCCACAAAATCAAGACATGTCTCTAAGTGTTTGCACGCAACGGGTAAGGCACAGTGTGCCACGGTGCTAATGGTGGCATCACACTGACTGTACGCAGAGAAGGTGCTAGCTGTCCCTTTAAAAGGGGAACGCTTCTTGGCTTGGAGTCCACAGAATGTCTGGAGTCGATCCAAGCATTTCCTGTCCATCAGAGCTGGACTCACTAGTCATTGCTGACTCTGGTCAGCGCTGCTGGTCCTCTGTGGGTCTAGAACAGGCACATCCTATTAGCACTGCCACAGGCCTGTGCTTCCCATAGAAAACATGCTGTAAAGTGGCACACACCCCTCCACAGGGGCCTGACTGATACATGGATAGCATTACGAATGGCACAGAGACAATGGCAGAAATAGCTTGACCAGCACTAGAGTAAAGGTTTATTTGTCACTGGCTGAAAGTTGAACATGTAAGAGAACAAGAACAAAATCCAGCATGACCCTCGTGTCTTAGAAGATATGAAGTTTTGTGCTTCGGTTGCTGGGAAAGACAAATTTTAGTATACAGTTTGTTTTCAGGGCTCTAGACTGCAAATAAAATGGTCGCAAAAAGTTGATCAGTTTAATGTAAATTTTATTTCAAATGTAGTCTCTATTAATGACAGTTTGGAAAAAGCAATTGTGAAGCAATTCTCTTTAATGTGTCAGTCAAAAGAAGATAAATGCTGAGAACAAGATTAGTTGAGCAGATCAGTCAGCGTAAAGTTAATTTTAGTTACTATCACTCCCACTAGTGCTTAAGGGCAAATGCCATAGACCACGGAAGAGGAAAAAAGAAAGAATTACAGTCTGCAGGTGGTTTGGTTAGATAAGAGGTGGACAGTGTAAGAAATAGCCCCTCTGGGACAGAGCTATGGCAACCCTGATAAAAGGTGAGAGGCTAGGAGTTTATACATCCCCGAGGGGCAACCAAAGACTGTTCCACAAAATCAAGACATGTCTCTAAGTGTTTGCACGCAACGGGTAAGGCACAGTGTGCCACGGTGCTAATGGTGGCATCACACTGACTGTACGCAGAGAAGGTGCTAGCTGTCCCTTTAAAAGGGGAACGCTTCTTGGCTTGGAGTCCACAGAATGTCTGGAGTCGATCCAAGCATTTCCTGTCCATCAGAGCTGGACTCACTAGTCATTGCTGACTCTGGTCAGCGCTGCTGGTCCTCTGTGGGTCTAGAACAGGCACATCCTATTAGCACTGCCACAGGCCTGTGCTTCCCATAGAAAACATGCTGTAAAGTGGCACACACCCCTCCACAGGGGCCTGACTGATACATGGATAGCATTACGAATGGCACAGAGACAATGGCAGAAATAGCTTGACCAGCACTAGAGTAAAGGTTTATTTGTCACTGGCTGAAAGTTGAACATGTAAGAGAACAAGAACAAAATCCAGCATGACCCTCGTGTCTTAGAAGATATCAAGTTTTGTGCTTCGGTTGCTGGGAAAGACAAATTTTAGTATACAGTTTGTTTTCAGGGCTCTAGACTGCAAATAAAATGGTCGCAAAAAGTTGATCAGTTTAATGTAAATTTTATTTCAAATGTAGTCTCTATTAATGACAGTTTGGAAAAAGCAATTGTGAAGCAATTCTCTTTAATGTGTCAGTCAAAATAAATAAATGAATAAATAAATCACAAAACGGGGAATTGTTCAGAGTGACTGATTTCCCCCTTAATACGAAGTCATTTGTCAATTATGTTCCATTATTAATGAACTGACAGCTATTACTTGTTGTAAAGAATACATATTCTTTAAAAAAAAAGAAAGAAAAAAAAAATATATATATTTCGTAAAAAATATTATTGGTCATTGATTAGCATAGTAAGGTCCAAATATCTGTCAAATTGAAGATATACTAAAACCATATAAACAAAATATACACACACACACATACACTTAAATATATGATATTTAAAATAAATATGTTAATATATATTTAAATAGGCCGTAATATTCTTACAAAAAAAGAGTGACATTTATTTTTGCCACAATACAGTACAAATCTGAACAACCATCTTAGTTAAGTGATATACACATTTTCATTCTGTGTACAAGCTGTTTGTAACATTATTTTTTATAACTGAATTACAGTGTTACTTATTTAGTTTTATACTATTTTGTGTACCATTTAAGATTTCATTCTTTTGATTGTAGCATTCTCATCTTTGATATGCTCTTTTTAAATATCTTTGAATAAATCTTTCTGGCTGTTCTTGTTAGATATGATCAGGATATTCCTTTACTAATATTGTTGCACAGCAGTGATGCACCAGCATCCAGAGAATAACTATTAATCTTGCTCAAATCAGAGCTATTTTGAACCAGCAGAAGCAGGTCAATGCCATGAAAACATACAGTTTGAGATACTCGCATCCTCTACAGTTCCAATGAATTATCTTCAAACCCACTGAAAAATTGAAAAGTTTTGAAAATATAAAACTGCCGAGCAAGCAGATTTAACATAAGGTTAGTATTGTGTTAAAGAGTAATATGTGATGTTGATGTGTGTGTGTGTGTTGTTTTTTTTTACTCCATATATATACAGTATATTATGCTTTCATGAGTTTGGAACCTGATTCTGCAGTAGATGCTGTTGGATTACTACAATTAAAAATGTTTTTTTGGACATACTACTCATGTTTCTTAACTTTTTCTTTCCCAAAAAGCCTTAAAGAAGACTATTATTACTTCATTAATCTAGAGAAAAATGAATTTGAAATGCATTTATTTCATACTAAGTATACTACAAATACAGCTACATATTTATTCACTTAATTAAAATACCCTGCAATTGTACTTTTAGTATACTAAACTGGTATACTTATACTGCTTTAATTGTGCGGAAGTAGTGCTGAAGTCCAACTAAAGATATACTGAAGTATATTTGACTGCGCTAAACTGGAACTACTGCAAGTATACTTAAGGTACAATTTGAATATCTTGCATTTAAAGACCAATGCTATTCAAAAATAATACAGTCCTCATCCATAGTGACATTAAAACACATTTTAAGCTTAACATGGCTTGTGCATTTGTGCACAAGTAGTACTCCAAATTATTATTATATCAGCATATAAACAGATATTATAATTTTATATCAGTAAGTCCTGAGCGATATGTCAGTAAATATATTAAATAGATTTGAACTATACTTAGTATGAAATAAATGTATTTTAAATATATTACTTTTTTAGCACAAAAACTGACCTCAGATGAACTCTGATACTATTTGATTTGCTAGTTGATGTTGATTTCTTTTAAAGAAATATAGATATATTCATAATAGTTTTTTAATTAGGGACAAAGGATTTTGATTGACCTGTGACCTATTTGTTTGTACACTTGCTGACCCATGGGTACTGACTTATGTACCTAAAACACCCTGCATAATGGATCACACACAGTTTCAGATCACTGTTTTCATAATTAAAAATTAGTGTGGGAAAATGTATACACCAGATGGGTTGACTTCCCATGGCCATTAACCTTTAATTGGTATGGCTTCAATCCATCATAACACATTTCCTCATCAGATCTTGGCAGTTGTAATAATACCTGCTGATTTAATTTCAGCCAGATATTGCTGATCTCAATCAATTAGATTCTGTCATATTGTAATCAACTAGCAGCACAGTCTATGTAATGTAGCAAATTATTTGCATGTTTTTCAGATTGACAGTGTGCAAAGTCTGCTGCAGTGCCCGAGCATTTTGGTTTGTGTGGGACGTGAGCCTTTCCACCCACTCCTGTTGGACAGCTTCAGGAAGAACTCTTACGACAAACTTCCAAGACTGAACACAAAGCAATGCTCTAGAGTCTGCAGTGATGAAAAGGGGGCCAAGAAAAATGGTAGGTCACACTGCAAAAAGTATTTTTCATCTTATGTTACAGTAAAAACGAACTAAACATGCTCAAAACAACATAAATTTGCTTGAAGCTAAAATTTTAAACAGAAGAGAATAAATGTTCAGTTATGTTTAGTTTTTCTAACCCGTGTGGTAAAGTTTTATTTTATTTGATAAAAGTATTATTTATTTATTTGTTTTACATTTAAACTTATGCTTAAAACAAGAAAAAAGTATTTGCCGTTGGAACAAGAAAAAGAAACTTAAAATGTATACTAGGGCTGCACGATAAATTGCATGCGATATTTAACGAGCATCTTATCAGTAAAGCCGGTTCTGTAATCAGCGGTAAATCTCCATCACGTGTGTGCTTTCACATTGAGCAGCATTAACTTTATTCATTAACATTAACATTAAATACACAGAGCTGTTGTTCACTGACGAGCTGCGCAAAACCACGTTCATATTTGCGTGATTTTTTGCGCAGCTCGTCAGTGAACAACAGCTCTGTGTATTTAATGTTAATGTTAATGAATAAAGTTAATGCTGCTCAATGTGAAAGCACACACGTGATGGAGATTTACCGCTGATTACAGAACCGGCTTTCTGACAAGATGCGCATTAAATATCGCATGCGATTTATCGTGCAGCCCTAATTTATACCAAGACTTGATTTCTTATACAGCTTAAACAGGATGTTTATTTTGTAAAAATAGAAAACAAGAAAAAATCTATAAAATTGTATGATGATTTTGTATATTTATTGTAATAGTTATTTACTTTACTTTCTTACTTGTAGTGAACTTTGGACTTGAAACTAAAAGAAGCGTCATCCATCCAAGGTGTGATTCAAGCAACAGATCAGCAAGACTATCCATCTCATCTGAAAAGTTGTTTCCCAATGGACTTAACTCATTACCACCAGGGCACAGAGGTGCTTGTCCTCATCCAGGAGAAAATACGATGGATGATGACATTGAAAAGCGAGTTCTGGTCAACAAAGACGGAAGCCTGTCAATGGAGATGAAAGTGCGCTTTCGACTATTACACAACGAGACATTGCACTGGTCCACAGAAGTGAAGAAGGCAAAGAGCACTTTTAATGAATCCCCTATTGTACCTGATGATGCTTGTTCCCTCTCGCATGGCAGTGCAGAGAGCTGCTCAGAAGCGGATTCTCTCTCTGCTGGCGATGGCGATCTAGCAGATGAGACATACAGCACCAAACGTTACCAGAGACACTTTGAGGAGCCACATTGCCAGCACTGTTGTGCTCACTGTCAGGAATATGATATCTGGAAGAATCCTGTACCTCCTGATCAAGGATCAGTAAGACGCATCAGATCTTCAAGCTCAAGTGCATCCTCGCGGAGAATAGTGTGCAAAAAGGCATCTACTGACAGCATACGCACAATGTCCAGTGAGGAGTACACAGAGCATGTAGTGGAAAAGGCAACTTGCATTCAACGGACCTTTGGGCAGCAGGGTGACTCCACAGTTGAACAATGTACCATCAACCATTGCCACAGTCGAAGTGAAGTACGCTCAATGTCCCCTAAAACAAAGAGCAAAAGTGCTGTAGAAGACAAGCGTGAGAACACTCATGTATCTGAAAATGACAAGAACAGACCTGATGTCATATCCTCTAACCTCCCTAAAGATCAGTTAAGTGTTCAGATTACTCAGCCAGTGGAGGAAGAGGAGAGGCCTGTATCTGTTGTGAGTTCTTCTTCTCAAATTTTAGCATCACTGAAGGAGGATCAAGATGATGAAGATGCTGACCTTTCTCTGAGCACCTCGAGAACATCCCATGGCCAACAGGAAGATAAGGAGAGCAAAGATGCAGAACCAAACCCATGTTCTACTACACCCTGTAAATCTCCTGCATCTCCTGCACATTTGTCACCAAGACCACCAAGCAAAGCTTCATCTTTAGGACGGTCTAAAAGATCCAGAAAGTTGGTCAGTCCAGAAGTAGATGATGAAGAGGGCAGGTCTGAAGCATCTGCTTCACCCAAAGCATCATCTGGATTAAAAAATTTGGTCACCATGGATTTAGCATCTCCAGGAGATTCTGAATCAATTGATCAACTAGAAGACATTCAACACAAAACTGATGTGCAAGATGAAGAAAAAGAAGAAAGGGCACCAAGCGCGCTGTCAGCCAAATCAAAAACTTCTGTGAAGTCACTGTCTGAGTTATCAGCCTCTTGTGAGAATGAAAATGCCGCTGAGTATACTGGAGCAAACAGTGAAATAATAGAGGAGCGATCCTTGAGTGCTATCTCCATAAAATCCAATATCTCTGGAAAATCAAATAGAACAAATGTTTCAGATGTACTTGAAAAGGATGGAAGAGCACCCAGTGCCATGTCAGTAAGATCTCAGAGATCTGACAAATCAAGAAAAACCGACATCTCAGACAATGTGTCTGAGGGACAAATCTCTGAAGTAAGAACATCAAGTGCTATGTCTGTTAAATCAAATATGTCTGTAAGGTCAAAAGTATCAGATGTTGGCTTTGTTGAGGCTTTACAAGACAATGTTGAGGAGAGGGCCGTAAGTGCTGTGTCATCTAAATCGAATATTTCCGCTACATCTAGTCAGTCTAAAGAGCCACAGTCTGATGGGCCATTAGATGAAAGAATAGAAGAAAAAGCTTCAAGTGTTAAATCTGGAACATCAAACAAGTCTGGAATCAAAGTGGTGCCAAATGATGATCAAACAGTGGAGAGGGCTCCCAGCTCCATTTCGATAAAATCAAATATTTCTGCAAGATCAAAAATGTCAATTGAGCTGAGCGAGCTTAAAGATCAAGACAGAGCCCCCAGCAGCATTTCTGTAAAATCAAATGTCTCACATAAATCAAAGTCTGACATGTCAGAAGCAGCATCTTTCCAAGGAGATGAATCTTTAAATTCAGTGAAATTAAACACACCTGAAGCTGAAGCAGCTCCTCAAACAGAGTTACCAGGGGAGAGACCACCAAGCTCTGTGTCATCAAAATCAAATATCTCTACAAGATCCAGAATATCCAAAAATCTTGAGGTAGACCAAGACGAAGCACAGGAAAAAGAAGATGTTCAAGAAAGAGCATCAAGTGCTATTTCAGTAAAGTCTACTACATCTGCAAGATCAAGGAAATCTGAAACAACACCAAAATCAGGAGAAGAAATGAAGGAACGTGCTCTTAGTGTTATGTCAGTCAAATCAAATGCTTCTTTAAAATCAAATAAGTCTAAGATGGAGGAGGAGGAAATAGAAAACAGAGCCTCCAGTGTTTTGTCTGTTAAATCTGAAGAAAAATCTAATCAATCAGACATAGAGCAAATGGAGAAAAGACCATCAAGTGCAATATCAGCTAAATCAAATGTTTCTGTAAGATCTAAAGGGTCCAAAATGTCAGAGGTGGCAGGAGATGATGATCGATTATCTGCAGCAGCATTGCATACCTCTGAAACATCAAATGAATGCAGCACAGCACCTGAAGAAACCTGCAAAGGCACAGAGAAGTCACCAGACAAAGAGAAAAGAGCACCAAGTGCATTGTCAACAAAATCCAGTAACTCTGCTAAATCCAAGAAATCCAAAATATCTGATATGGCTGATGATATTGTAGCTGGAGATAGAGATGATTTGAGATCTGCAAGTGCAATGTCCTCTAAATCGAATGTATCTGTGAAATCAGCGGTCTCAGAATTGGTCACAGAAGAGCCTTTAGAAGCACAGGACCAAACAGAAGAACGGGCTCAGAGTGCATTATCAGCACAAACCAATCAGTCAGGAGTGACTGTAAGTGAGGGAGTTGAAGTTGCAGAGGAACGGGCACTGAGTGCCATGTCATCTAAATCCAATGCTTCTGAAAGACCAAAAAATTCCAATAATTTAAAAGTGCCAACTGCTTTGCCTCAAGCAGCAGAACACCAAACAGTGAAACGAGCTCAGAGTGCATTGTCAGCTAGATCAAGAGTTTCAACAAGATCCAATAAGTCCAAAATTTCAGATGTTTTAGCTGATGAGCTTGTTGATGTGAAAGACGAAGAAGAAGAGAGAGCTTCAAGTGCTTTGTCTGCAAAATCCAGCATTTCCGCAAAGTCGAAGTCAAATGCTTCTGCAACAGACGTCAAAGCTGATGACAAAGAAAAAGGAGACAGAGTACCAAGTGCTATGTCAGGAAGATCTGATATTTCTACCAAAACCAGTATCTCTGCAAAATCCAAAGCATCAAATGTTTCAGAAGTACCACCAGAAGAGCCTGATGATGAAGAAAGTGAAGTAAAAGCACCAAGCATTACTAAATCCAGCATTCCAGTAAGATCCAATAAGTCAAAACATTCAGAAATGGGTACTGAAGAAGAGGTTCAGAACATAGAGAGACCTCCAAGTGCAATTTCAGTAATATCTGATGCCACACATGATGAAAATGAAATGACAAATGACGGTGAAATTCAAGAAAGGGCTCCAAGTGCTGCATCTGCAAAATCACATTCCTCTGTAAGATCCAGAACATCAAAAGTTTCTGAAATAATCATAGATGAGCCAGATAAAGAAAAATTAGAGAGGGCACCAAGTTCTAGGTCATTGAAATCTGATGCCTCTGGAAAATCTGGTCCAAATGACCCTGTCAATGAAGAAAAGGAAGCAAGAACAGAAAGCGCTTTGTCCTCAATTTCTGTAAGATCAAAAAAGTCAGAAGATTCTGAGATAATCAGCAATGTAGAGCGGAGAGCATCAAGTACAGCATCAGTTACATCTGAAACATCTGCAAGATCTAAAAGGTCAAATATTTCTGTAGTTGCTCCTAAAGAAATTGGAAACACAGATACTGGAGGTGTCCGAGCATCAAGTGCATTGTCTGCAAAATCTTGTGCATCTGAGAAATCAAAATGTTCAGAAAGAACAACTGAGGAGGATGAAGAAGCAAGTAAAGTGGTAGACAGAACAACCAGCTCTTTGTCTGTGAAGTCAAATCCATCCATAACATCGGATGCCACTGTTAAATCAAGTGTTGTGCCTACTAAATCAAATGCTTCTGCAAAATCCCTCCTCTCAGAAGCTGAAGAGCCTGACAGAAGATCAACAAGTGTGGCCTCTAATGCATCTGCAGAAACTAAAATGTCTAAAGCAGAACCAAAAGCAAACCGTTCACGAAGCAAATTGTCAGTTAAATCAAATGTATCTACAAGATCCAAGAAGTCTAACGTTTCTGAGGGTGAGGACCATACACACACAAACACTGAAGATACAGAATTAAACAGAGATGAGAGTCCGTGGTCCGATCACTCAAAAGTATCTCAAACAGAGAACTCAAATGAATGTATTTGTGGTGCAATAAACAAACCATCAAGTCCAGTGGCATCTTCTGAAAAAAACTTCGACCATGAAGAGATACCTGCAAGTCCTCTGTCAAAAAAGTCAGCAAAGTCCAAAGTCAGTTCAGTTGGTTCTGACTCTGAAAGAGTTTTAACACCAACAAACACCTCAGTTTCTATTGGGATTGTTGAAGACCATGAGGCTGATGATGTCGAGGAAATAGATGGAAGTGCTGTTTCAATTAACTCAAGAATGTCTGCTTCTTCAAAGACTGAACTATGTGGTAAATCTGACCAGTGTTTATCAGAATCTTCAGTAGAAATCACAAATGAAGCAACACTGACACCAGAGGAAAGACCTAAAAGTTCTGCATCAGCTAAGTCAAATGTCTCAGGTAAATCGAAATCCAAAAGCTCTCATTGCGGCTCAAAATGTCCTACAGACACAATTCAGGACGGAGATGATGAAGCAAGTAATAAATCCTCCAAAATAAAGTATTTAATGACATTATCTGTAAGCCAACCATCAGCCAACAGTTCAGTGAGGCAGAGCTCTCAAACCCAGGGGATTCGACCATCTAGCAAAGCTTCCGATATGTCTGTACACACTGAAATCAAAGGTCAAGAGAAAGCTGAAAGTCCAGATGTTACCCATACATCTCAAAGTGTCTGTTCAAAATGCAGTTCTACACAACAGAAAGAAAAAATTTCACGTGCTTCAAGTAAAATCCAAAAGCTCTCATTGCGGCTCAAAATGTCCTACAGAGACAATTCAGGACGGAGATGATGAAGCAAGTAATAAATCCTCCAAAATAAAGTATTTAATGACATTATCTGTAAGCCAACCATCAGCCAACAGTTCAGTGAGGCAGAGCTCTCAAACCCAGGGGATTCAACCATCTAGCAAAGCTTCCGATATGTCTGTACACACTGAAATCAAAGGTCAAGAGAAAGCTGAAAGTCCAGATGTTACCCATACATCTCAAAGTGTCTGTTCAAAATGCAGTTCTACACAACAGAAAGAAAAAATTTCACGTGCTTCAAGTGCCTCAGCAATCTCAAACTCTGAGAAATCCAAAACGAAAGAAGGAAATACTACAGAAATGACTGACAGACAAAAGAGTAATATATCCAGTTCATCTCGTTTGAAAGTAAAGGGTCAAAAGAATGATGTCGAAGCTACAGTTGTTAATGAAAAAAGCTATAAATTAAAAACCAAGTCAACACAGAAAGTTGAAGACAATGCACCCAAGTGTCATTCAGCGACTTCTGTTACCTCAGGAAACCAGCTAAGTCCTAAAAAACCTAAAAAATCCAAAAAAACTGTTATTCTACTTGGAAGCTCTAATGATAGCATGTTATCGCAGACTGTCCCTGCTCCAGAACCGAAAGAAGAATGTATTGACCATTTGAATGCAGCAGCAAAAAAACCTCAGTCTTGTAGATCTGATACAAATGTCAGTGAAATTAAAAGTGAAAAAAGTAGCAAATGTAGAAAAAGAATTGGAAGTGGCTCTTCTTGCCACAAGATGGATGATGACATGTCTGAGCTGAGTCCTTCTTGCTTGCCAAATGCTTCTCCAACTGAGGTGGTGAATGAATGGTTGAGGAAAATCCCATCAGACACCACCTTGTGTGATTTGGGCGACGAAGTCCATGACAGTTATTATTCGATAGAGCCACTTTGCACATCACATGTGCCATCAGGAGATGATAATCAGCATGGAAGTTTGCGGCCGAGTGATGTTACCAAGATTGAAACACAAAATGAAATGGAAGATGCTCATGTGGTGAATACAGAAGGGGCTACTGACAAAAAATCTCCTGAAGTTGCTGAGGGTGATCACTCTCAGAGAGGGGATGAACCAAAGATATTTGATTCTTCGGTTCTGGTGATGAAAGTCTTGTTGAGCCCCAAACTCGACCGATGCAATAGCCTACCAGAGGTATCTTCTGTATATGGACGTAAGCTCAGTGCATCAGCGCAAGGTCTTCTGGATTGTTTGGCAAATCTTCAGTTGTTAGACTTTGGTCCTAGTGATGAAGATGGTAAAAAGGAAAAATACCAGGAGCTCATGAGCATGCTCAAGTCTCTTTGGCTTTGTGACCCATCTGGGGAAAGAAACAAGCGTCTGGATGAGGAATTCAAAGCCAGGTCATCCTCAGGGGTAGATGTTAACAGTGGCTCAACAGGTTCAGGGAAAAGTAGTGTCAATGATGGCACTCAAGCACAAATCAACACAGAATGTGAAGTCCTGGAAACCCTGACAAAGGTACAGGAAGTTGATGAAACAGTAGAAGGGGAAGCTTCAGAAACGCCCGGATCAAATGATGATTCAGCCACTCCAGACATAGCAAATCAAGCTCAGTTAACCCCAGAGACAAAGGACACAGATGAAGGAAAGCTAAAAGATGATGTCCCAGGCTCTGAAGAGACAATCAGGAGTAATGATAGTCCCAGAGAACTCATTGAAACACCTCTTTCCTCAAACAAGAGTTCTGGGAATAATCCCAAAAAAGAGGAAACTGAATCAGACCGTCAAGAGGACACAAGTTCAGGCAGTGCTCCAAAACAACAAAGAGGTCAGTTATCAAAAAGGCTTTCTCAAGACCCAGATCCTGTATGGGTTCTGAATTTATTGAACAAGTTAGAAAAGCAATTTATGACACATTATGTTAACGCAATGGTTGAGTTCAAAGTCCGTTGGAATCTGGATGACAACGAGCAACTTGATGCCATGATATGCGAATTGCAAGATGAAGTCCGCAGACGGATACAATCGAGTATAGACAGGGAGCTAAGGAAAATCCAAGGCAGAGCTGGAAGACCAAGACCACCAAAAGACACAATGTCACGTGAATCTACCATTCAAACAGAGCAAAGGCGAAGACGTCTGAAAGTGATGCGCAACCAATCAGTTGATCCACAACCTGCTAAAAGTGACGATGATTATACAATGACAGGGACCGATTTCAGCGATCAACGTAGCGATGATGAATATTGTCCTTGTGACACATGCTTGAAAAAGAAAATGGCATCCAAGCATGTGTTACCTGTGGAAATGCTTAATTCTGCCCCTGTGATGATGGACTTTGATTTAAGAAGAATTCTCCAGATGAAGAAATCGGCTCCAAACAATGAAAAGATTGAGGAGTCTGCCAATGAACAAGCAAGTGAGATGGAAGGAGAAAATGCAGGGCTTGAGGCTGTCAAAGAGGAGGATGAGAAAGAGGGGGCAGATAAAGAAAATCTTGCTTCCAGTGCTCAAGAAATTGAAGATGAAAAACAAGAATGTGAGGAGGGTGAAGAAGAAGACAGTGCCTCTAGCTCTTATGTAGAAGATAGTTCAGAGAAACAATCAAATACACCCAGACATTTAAAGAGAGATGTGGATGAAATTGCTGAGATGTCTGTTAACACAATGACTGTGCAACAAGATGAAGAGCAAGAAGAGACTGAGACTAATTCTGATTTAATGGCTGTCAAAGAAAGTGCAAGCAGTTGTAAGATTAATGAATTAGATGAAAACCTGGCAAATGATGACATTAGTGAATTTGATGACATAATGCAAACTGAAGCAGCAAAGGAGGAAGCATCTGAAGAACACACTGAGGATGAATTAGAACAGCAGGACAAGACAGCTGATGATGAAACTGCTGAAGAAGGGCAAAACGCAGGAACCGAATCTGTTGAAGAGAGTGAGGCCACTGCTGAAGCAGTAGCTGCTGGAGAGAATGACATAGCTGGTTGTGACACTGCAGAAGAAGGTGAGACAGCTGAGGGTGAGACAGCAGAAGATGGACAGAACTGAAGCAGCAAAGGAGGAAGCATCTGAAGAGCACACTGAGGATGAATTAGAACAGCAGGACAAGACAGCTGATGATGAAACTGCTGAAGAAGGGCAAAACGCAGGAACCGAATCTGTTGAAGAGAGTGAGGCCACTGCTGAAGCAGTAGCTGCTGGAGAGAATGACATAGCTGGTTGTGACACTCCAGAAGAAGGTGAGACAGCTGAGGGTGAGACAGCAGAAGATGGACAAATGGCTGAATACAAAACTTCAAGAGATGGTGAGGCAGCAGAAGATGGACAAACTGCAGAAGCAGAAAGCACTACAGAAAATGGACAAACTTCTGAAGATGTAACTGGAGAAGAATGTGAGACTGTTAATGATGACAATGCAAAAGAGCATGAGATGGCTGAAAATGAAGTTCTGGAAGATGGACAAAGTGCCGAAGATGAAACTGGAGAAGAAGGTGAGACCATTAATGACGAGATTGGAGAAGTGCATGAGACATGTGAAAATGAAATGGCAGAAGATGGACAAACTGCTGAAGATGAAACTGGAGAAGAAGGTAAAACAGTTAATAAAGACACTGCAGAAGAGCATGAGACAGCTGAAAGTGAAACTGCAGAAGATGAAACTGGAGAAGAAGGTGAGGCAGGTAACGACGACACTGCAGAAGAGCATGAGATGGCAGAAAGTGAAACTGCAGAAGATGGACAAACTGCTGAAGATGAAACTGGAGAAGAAGGTGAGACAGTTAATAAAGACACTGCAGAAGAGCATGAGACAGCTGAAAGTGAAACTGCAGAAGATGGACAGACTGCTGAAGATGAAACTGGAGAAGAAGGTGAGACAGTTAATGAAGACCGTGCAGAAGAGCATGACACAGCTGAAAATGAAATGGCAGAAGATGGACAAACTGCTGAAGATGAAAGTAGAGGCGAAGATGAGACAGTTACTGAAGACGCTGCAGAAGTGCATGAGAGAGTTGAAAATGAAACTGTAGAAGAATGCCAAACTGAAGATGAAACTGGAGAAGAAGTTGAGACAATAAACAACGACACTACAGAAGAGCATGAGACAGCTGAAAATGGAGAAACTGATGAAGATAAAACTGCAGAAGAAGGTGAGATGACTGAAGATAAAACCTCAGAAGATGGACAAACTGCTGAAGCAGAAACTGTTGGAGAGGATGAAATAACTGAAGATGAAACTGCAGGGGAGGGTGAGGCATCAGCTAAAAATGAATCTATAGACAAAGGAGAGACTGCTGAAGCTGAAACTGAGAGCAATATAGGTGATGATGAAACTGCAGAAAAGAGTGAGACAGCTGATAACAACACTGTAGAAGAGCATGAGACGGCTGAGAATAAATCTGTAGAAGATGGGCAAGCTGAAACTGCAAGAGAGAGTGATTCAGGTGAGGAGGACACCGCAAAAGAGAGTGAGACAGCTGAGGATGAAATGGCAGAAAATGGCCAAACTGCTGAAGCAAGAGAGGGTGAGACAGATGGTGATGAACCAGCAGAAGATGAGCAGAATACTGAAGCTGATGCAGTCGAGGGAGATACAGCTGATAATGAAGCTGTAGATGACGAGCAAACTGCTGAAGCTGAAACTGCTGAAGAGAGTGAGACAGCTGAAGATGAAACAGAAGCAGAGAGAGATACTGCGGAGGGGACATCGGTTGAAGAAAGAGGAACTGATGTACAAAGAGCCAATGAAGAAGAAGACAACACAGATGATGCAGGAACTGCAGGAGGTGTGTCAGCTGAGGAAAAAGAGACTTCTGAAGTAGAAACAGCAGATGAGAGGACCACTGAAGCTGAAACTGAGATGTCTGAAGAGAAAGCTACTGTTGAAGATAGCAACATGGCTGAAGACAAGAATGCTGTGGTAGAGTTGGCAGAGCAAACTCCTGATCATGAGACGACTGGAGAAGAGACTGACAAGAGTCAGTCAAACGATGAGGAAGACAAGGAAATTGTTAGTTGTGAAGCAGAGGAGGATGTTCTTTCTCACATTGAGGACACTGAGAGTCATGATGTCTTGACTAATCGTGCGGTAATTGAAGATGAAACACCCCTTAAGAACAATGGTGACATTGTTCTAGATAGTGTTGATGATAAAGGTGAAGAAAGTGATAAAGAAGATGATAATGTGGAGGTAATGGCAAACAAAGCTGGTTATGTGGCCAACACTGGTGAATCAGCTGAAGCTGGTGATGAAGCTGAGGATGACACAGAGCCAGATGTGGAGACAGATGAAGGGAAGCATAATAGAAACGCTCTACCTTTACAGCCTCTGTTACAGCCAAAACTAAAAGATGACAAACCAGATGGATCAACTTCATTTAATGTTTTGGTAAAGCACAATTCAGAGTTTGAAGATGGTGCTGATGCTGATGTAGAAGACTCAGAAACAGAAGAACACAACCAAGTCATAGATTTGAGTTCTGAGTCAGAAAGCAAGCCACAGAGGAAAACTGCACATAAAACCTTCAAGATGCTCATTCACACTCTGAATTTCCTCAAACTCTCAGCCGCTGGACTACCAAAGAGCAGGGAAGAGGATAATGAACATGAGGTTGAAGATGAAGAGACTCCAGAAGACGGCAGTGATGATGCAGAAGAGAGTTCCTGTGTGGAGAAAGATGAGGTGGAAGAGAATGGAAAGGAGAAGGGCAAACTCTCAGATATTACAGAGGACACAGCAGAATCTGAGGAGGACCAGACAAATGAGACTAGTGATGATTCAGAGGACCATGAATGGGAATCATCTGAAAATTCCTTGCAAAAGCAGATAACAAAGTCATCCCAGGAATCTCAGCCAGGTTCCTTTGAGGAAGTTCCCGAGGAACAGGCAAAAAATCAGAAAGGTTTAAATCATCTGAAAGCCAACTGGTAGAATCCTTCTTCAGCATAAAAGAAAAGAACCAAAGATGCTCTTTAGCATGTAAAAATGGTTCCAGAGGGGTTATTTCTCTATTATCCTTAGACCTTATAATAATTATCATAAGTTAGCCCTTTGGATTCCTTATTTTATTGATCAAAGAGTAACATATAATGCACTTTACTTATTATTCACTTGTGATTCCATTATATATGCAGATTATATATGCAAAAGCACTGCATTACTGCTCAGGTACAGTAAAAAGGGAACTGCTGAAACTTGAAAAGCACATAAAGCTCTTCTAACTTGATGGAAGGAAAATTGTTTAGAATTTTAGTATATTTATGTCAGAACAACATATTGCAGTTATTTATATTATTCACTCAGTTGTAAGCCTTAGCCATTGGAGGGACTGTTGACAAGGGTAAATTATGCATCATAGTTACTGTATCATACTGTATATGTATGTACTGCTATACAAATGTTCCACAGTGTAAATGAAAAATCACACATCAGAGTGACATGTAATGGAAATCAGGGGCATAAACTGTGGTTATGAGTGCACGAGAATGAATGTATATTGAACATATTTGAATCTGAATGTTTGATTCATTGTAGCAATATGAATGATCTAATTTACTCGTAGGTTGCTTGTGGGAAAGCATACCTTTAAAAACATAAACATTTTTTTATCCCTGCTAAAACATGAGATGTCCATTCCATCTGACTTAGTCAGAATATGTACACTAATGCTTACTTTTAAACTAAGTGCACTGAATGCAGATGTATATGATTGACATCACCAGAAATCACCAATATGTAGCATATTGTGTATTATAAGGATTGAGGTGCACACATCAAGCCATGCCTTAGATGTTTTGCCACATAAAGGACTGTACATATAATGGACTATGTTGTCTGTTTTGTTCACACAAAACTCTAATGTGAAGTGATGCAGATGGAAATGTGGTTCCTTCATTGCAGTTTATTTTCTGCTGGCCAAACGCTTAATGGTTAACTGAAATACAATACATTCCTTGTTACTTGAATGTACTAATTTCCTGCCTGAAATAAATACTGTATATTCAAGCTTAAATTGTTTTTATTTATTTATTTATTGTTAGTTGTCAAGCAAAAAGGTTGAGTTCTAAAAAAAAAGAGAGAACATTTTCTAGTTTTAAAAGAAAGCCCAAATCTCTAGGATGTACTGTACATGTCTACATATAGAATCCTTCCAGAGGGATGCTGAATAATTGAATTATGGGGTCATTGTTATTTAAGTTTGTCACTAGCAAGCATTAGCACTATAATAATGACTCCCTGTAGATACCTTTGGCCTGAGCTGATGGTGAAATAGACTTTCATTACTCTCTAATCTCTCTATAACTATTTTCACTTGTCTTCCAGTGAAATGCATTTTCTGTGACAGACACCTGCCACTCTATTACTCTTCACTAAATCAACTGTCTACTTCCATTACAAAAGCCCTGTTGCTTTGGTCACGGTGCCTTTCAGAAGTTTTCAATAAGAGGGAAATTATTTCAAGGGAGCTGACTTTGTCTCTGAACCTTCAATAGATCATACCATGACATTCATGACACAATAAAAAATACCCCCTGAAAATATTGAAGGTGAAAATCAGCAAACTATTAATAACCTGACCCACCTCATCCATCAACCACCTAGTTAAGAGTCAATTCCCAGCCAGTGAGACATCTGAAACAACCTGCATTTTGTTTTTGCTCTCCAACTTTGCTGTTTTTAACAGGCCGGCCGGTTTGCTGAACAGGGGCAGAGCCCAAGGATCCCATGACAAGTCCAATTACTCAAGTTAACGCCCCCCAAAACAGCATCACCTGTCCAGTCCATTAGTCTAATATAGATATTTGTAGACTAAATTGTGTGTATATTCAGGGACTTTTAATTACTGTCTCTTTCTGACAGGTAAGTGTGTGGCTGGTTATTTGAAACTGTCCTAAGAGACTTCATTCCCTGCCTTTGCTTGCTGGAGTCATAGGTATATACAGCCCCATTGGACAAGTCTGATGGATGGTCCTCTCTAGTTGAGTTTCCATCCTCTGCTTCCGGAGGGAACGTGACATAAATAATTGGTGTCACTCCCATCGACCGAGTGCCACACTCGAAGGCGGGGCTGAAGCCGCTGACAAAACACAGCTGTCTAATCTCACAAGTTCTCACCATATCCTAGAGTGCCTTCCATCTCCTTACAGAGAGACGATGAGACCATTTGCATTTTAGCATCATATAAAACAAGACTAGAGGAAGAACATAAATAATTGCCAGTATGCAGGCAATACAGAACTTAGGTTATTGCTTTAACGTTTAACTTTATTTGTAATAGTACTTAAAGATTTGATAGCTTTATATTCAAATGTTGCAACAGAAATTGCTTAATTGCTTTTAGTCTTATAAGGATCAAGGAGAGAACACTTATAATATTAATTTAGTCAAAAATACATAAAAAGTGCAGTACATACATTAAAAAAAAAAATATATATATATTTATTTATTTATTTATTTTCCGCATAGAGGGTGCAATAACTCTTTTTAACTTTATTTGTAATAGTACTTAAAGATTTGATAGCTTTATATTCAAATGTTGCAACAGAAATTGCTTAATTGCTTTTAGTCTTATAAGGATCAAGGAGAGAACACTTATAATATTAATTTAGTCAAAAATACATAAAAAGTGCAGTACATACATTTAAAAAAAAAATAAAAATATTTATTTATTTATTTATTTATTTTCCGCATAGAGGGTGCAATAACTCTTGTCTTGTATGGAAGCCTATTTCCACCATGGAATAAAACATTCAATTAAAATTCAAAATTTAACAATTCCAAGTTTAGTTTTCAGAATTCTGACTTTTTTCTTCACAATTCTGAGTATGTATTCTTAGTATATCTCACAGTTCTGGGCTTATATCTCACAATTCTGCCTTTTTTCTGTCAGAATTGCAAGAAAAAAGAAGGAAAGAAATTGCAATTACATTTATTTTTATTGTATTTTATTTTTATATTTTAAAATTGTATTTCTATTTTATTTTAGAAACATGCTTCCATAGTCCTAATATCATAATGCCGAATAAAAAAGCCTATAGGACGTTATTTCCTAATTAAATTAATGCACTTATAATATTCTAAAAACTTTTGTCCGACAAATCAGTCAAATCATGTAGTGCAACCAACATGCTGGAGGAAAAACATTAAACAGGAAATTATTTCATTTGATCTTTGACAAGACAGGTTCAGGTTGTAAATTCAAGGTGTAAATTCTTTTTTACATTTTGTTGAAAATGGTAAACATTTTTCAAAACCATATGAAACCAACACATAGAAGCACATTTGTGACCCTGGACCACAAAAGCAGTCTTAAGTCGCTTGGGTATATTTGTAGAAATAGCCAAAAATACATTGTATGGGGCAAAATTATAGATTTTTCTTTCATGCCAAAAATCATTAGGATATTAAGTAAATATCATGTTCCATGAAGATATTTTGTAAATTTCCTACTGTAAATATATTAAAACTTAATTTTTGATTAGTAATATGCATAGCTAAGAACTTAATTTGAACAACTTTAAAGGCGATTTTCTCAATATTTAGATTTTTTTGCACCCTCAGATTCCAGATTTTCAAATAGTTGTATCTCAGCCAAATATTGTCCCATCCTAACAAACCATACATCAATGGAAAGCTTATTTATTCAGCTTTCATATGATGTATTTCGGAAAAATTGACACTAAAGACTGGTTTTGTGGTCCAGGGTCACATTTGTGAACTAAATACTATTTTATCTTAAACTTCAATCAGTAATTCAGTATAGTTTTAAATACATAGTAGTTTAGCCTATATGTGAAGAATATGATAACTATTAAATGCATCATAATCAAAGTGAAGAAAGTGATGACAAATGAAGAACATGGAGTTACTCTGAGATTAGAAATTCTAATTTTTTAAAGATTCAAAACACATTTAGCCGCCTGCTGCCTATGTGACAGATCAGATAACTAAACACTTCTTGGCTATTGCTGGCATTAAGAGGCTTTGGGGCTTGAACTTGAGCTGATGTCCATGGTTGCCCAAACATGGCTGTAAATGTGGATAAATAAGAAGGCTTGCTGGAGGAAGCACCTGCTCCCTGACGGGGGTTATTTCCACCCTCAACACTGGGATATACAGACATCTATTCCGGAGGATAATACGAGGGGTTTTTCCCTGTTTTTCCCTGTTTACCTCTGAGTGTTATGCCTGCAGCCAGCTGCAAAGACCCGCTTAGTGCGACTCCACACTCTCAGGCTTCCAGATGTTCCAGGAAAAACAAGTGTGCCAGCCTGTCGGTCAGGAGAACAGACATTTTAAGCTGTGTGCCAGGACTTCCTGCCTCACACACTACACAGGTGGATGTCAGTTACAAGTGTAACAGAGCACACTTGTCCTTTTCAGTATTTTACTGAACCCCAAGCATACAGAGCATTCAGACCGATTATTCACAAGAAAAACAATCAAAATCAGTTTATATATTATAGTGATTTTAGAATGTGCATATATGATTTATACTGTATATATTTACTGAATAAGATCAAAATGTACTTTCATAATTTTTTTATGTTTTTGATTGCTGATTCTTAAATATATATATATATATATATATATATATATATATATTACATATATATAGGCTACATACACACGCAGATGGGCAATATGCTCTCAATATTTTTCCTTCCAAAAAAGGGACTACTATTTTTTTTCTCAATAATACTGAACTTGACAGGACAAAATAGTGATATTAATAAAACCAATAATATTGATTAAAATGGCCAGTATGACAGATCAAAATATCAAGTCACTATTATCAAAAAGGGAAGTGACACACCATAGAAAATCATAAAATAAAGCATAATAAAACATAATAATTTTAAAAGCAAAAATTTAGTTTATCTTTATTCTGTAAAGCTTATTTTACATAATGTCTAATCAATCCTGGCATGTCTTTTTACTGTAGGATATGGCTCCAGTGCCAAGGACATGTCTTTTCAGATCACAAACTCCTGACAAAAACTGATTCCACAGAGGAAGTACCATGTATAAAGCAGTCCTGGAAGCCAGGGCTAAACAACAGGCCCTTGAGAGCATTGTTCGGTTTACTGCTATTGTAGCCGATGTGTCCATGGTCTCATTTAATAAAGGACGAATAAATGAGTGAGTCCGGCTTTCTGGCTTGATGTGTGAGAGGGGCAGAGCAGTTTTCCCACACGGTGAGAGGAAGAGAGAAAATGTTCTCACAGTAGGCTGCTTTCCCCCCTTCCATTGAGGAAGCACCCTACAAGGCTGTGAATAGGGGCTTCTCTTTCTCTTTTGTCCTCAGGTGCTGCTTGATTGGCACAGTTAGGACTGGGTGCACGCAAACAGTATGAGAGAGCAGAGTCTTTCATCTACTATAGGCCTGCAGTACCTGTTGTTTGATGAGTTCAGAGTCTCTAGATGCACAGTTACTAGCCATTTTGACTTGGATGTGTACTGTAGAAAAAAGGGTGTTTCACAGCAATGCCATAGAAGAACCATTTTTGGTTCCCCAAAGAATCTTTCAGTGAAAAGTTCTTAAAAGAACTGTGTTTTTCTTAGACGGAAGAATATTGAAGAAGCCTCTAGAACCTTCATTTTTAAGAGTGTAAGCTTATTTTTGAAAGTCAAAGTACCTTAAAGTCTTGGCCCAAAAAACAAACAAAACATTTCCAATGTTATCCAGTGTTAATACACAATTAATTGTGTTTTATTTTAATGAATAATTAAGAAATATATATTTATTTTAGTGCTGTCAAAATGATTAATCGTGATTAATTGCATCCAAAATAAAAGTCTGTGTTTACATAATATATGTGTGTGTGCGCTGTGTATATTTAAATGTATATGTAAATACACACTGTATATTCACTTTGGATAAAATCATCTGTAAAAATGAATAAATGTAAAAGCAAATTCATTTAGACAACAGGCTCCACTATATTTTGGGGCAAGCTGTCACAATGGAGGATC